TATATATATATGCAACCTACAGAATGACCTTTGTACCATTGTACCATGAGAACGCTTCTATTGTGGATTGCCATGTTACTCTTGGGTTCAGTCAAAACAGACTCTTGGAACTGTAAGACAACAACTCAAAGTCTCCCAAGTAGCTGTGGTGAGACCAGAGGACCAAGTCAAAATGAAGTCAGTAAAGAGTGGAGGAAGCTCATGGAAGGACACAGCATAGGGAGGCACAGCCAGTACATCTCCCATTATGAATGGGCCCTCCCAGCAGCTTTGTTGGCTCTCCAGTGTTTCGGACCCTTGCTCATACAGGCTGTGGAACTGAATTTCACAGAAAAGAATAATTTTCATAGTGCTTTGGCTTCTCTCTTCTTGAGTTATTTGCTCTTCTGAGTTCTTGGTGGCTGATGATAGATTAGGCTCTCTGCCATTCAGAGTTGATCTTTATACCTGAAAGCGTAAGTTTTGTCTTCTTTGTTAATGAATATCACTGTCAGCTTTGCTCCACTGCACTATCAGCAGATGCTGATTTGACTAATAAAGATGAGATCTACTGTTTGGGGGGAAAAAGTTAGTTTGATTTCTCTAGGGGTCTTTCATGTGATTTTTAGCTTAGCGATGTGCTAGGTTTTCAAAGACACGCCAAATGGAAATAAGAGGATATTGATCATGAGTGTGACATAGAGTACTTTTCTGCATATACTGAGTTGCACGCCATGTAAAATAAAAGTGTATTCAGTGTTTCAATAAATAAGTAGAATAACCTGTATTGAGAGCCTATTTTATCATTCCCTGGGAGACTCCACTCATTCTTACATTTGTAAGATGCTGATGGTTTCCCAGAATTTACATACTTCAGCATTTCCCAACCAAGAAATTTGATTGGTGGTCAATCAAATCAGGTGGTCCAGCATGGTGACTCACGCCTGTAATCCCAGCACTTTGGGAGGCCGAGGAGGGTGGATCACCTGAGGTCAGGAGTTTGAGACCAGCCTGCCCAACATTGTGAAACCTCATCTCAACTAAAAATACAAAAAAAAAAAAAAAATTAGCTGGGTGTGGTGGCAGGTGCCTATAGTCTCAGTTACTTCGGCAGGAGAATCACTTGAACCCAGAAGGCTGAGGTTGCAGCCAACTGAGATCATGCCATTGCACTCCAGCCTGGGTGACAAGAGTGAAACTACGTCTCAAAAATTAAAACAAACAAACAAAAAAAACACTGCCAACATTTGCAACTTGGAAGAATTCACTTTTTTAGAAAATCTGTATTTCAGCTTCTTTTGAAAAAAATGGACAATCTCACCATGGTGCAGTGGCAGGAAGTGGAGGGCATATTCCTACCTGGCAAAATTCCTTTGAGTCTGGAGCTCAAAGGAGGCTCACTCCTCAGACCAGGTCATGAACTTTCAGTTCACCATCCTCTCAATGATGTACATGAACTGTCTGGGCCTGCTTTAAATCTCTAATTGGTTAGATTTGGTTGCTTAGAACAAGCTTTGGGGAGTAAGTGTGGGGCACTCTGGTTAAACAGGCTGCTGGGCAGACCACAACTCTTGCAGTCTGCCTGAATGGGCTGCTTCACTCCTTCCATGCACCACCACCATGTGCTGCTGACTTTAAAATGTTTATACTTTGCACAGAAAGTCTGTCACTCAGAGGTGTCATCATGTCTTTGCACTGGAAGGTTCATTCACCCTAATAAGAGTTATAAATAAAGGTCATTTATTCCTCTACATTCAGAATACTATACCTCTTGGGTGGTTGAGTTTGTCTTTGATATGGTTTACTTGAAGGAGAGTGGACAATGTACAGGAGGGTTCTAAGGAGTATAGATTCGTTCCACCATTATGAATAATGCTGGAAGTATTTTTATTTGTCACAGACACTTCTTATTAGGAGTTTAGTCTCCTAAGTAACTGAACCATTGTGGATGGACCCCCTGCTGGCCTGGTCCACGCAGGTGCAACCATATAGAATCGGCCCAACGCCCAGGGTTCCTGAGCTTTTTTCCCCCCACTGCAGGACCAAGACCCGAACCCTGCCGCTGTGGCCGAGAACGCCGCATTGAGCCTGCGCACAAAGCCTCTGTGAAAAGGAGAAAGTAACCCCCTAACTAGGCCTAGTGAGGACGGAAGGTGCTGCACAAGTCTGCGCAGGCGCGCCCCAGTGACGAACACTCATCAGTACGCAGGCGCCCAGCTTAGTTGGTCTTTTTGTCCTGTAAACAGAGGGGCCTGCCCCCGACAGCTTCTGCTTCCGGGTCACGCCTTGACAGCGGCTTTCAACACCCACCTCAGCCCGGCAATTGGGTGAGTGCGGTCCTTGGTGCGGGTCTACAGCCAGGTGTCCTAACCCAGGGTACCACGCCCAATAACGTTTCCTCTGCTCCCCAGTGGAAGTGCTCTAGCTCTCGAGGCTGAGACTTAGTTCCGGGCCTTAGGGGGCAGATCCGGGAGGGGTTGGTCCGCGTCTGAGGCTCCCCAGCGCAAACTGCGTGATTCTTTCAGTACCAGACCTGCCGGGATTGCTGCGATCTGCTGGGAGCCGGTGCGGAAAGTGACACCGCACGTCCTTGCATTTCGTACCCTTGCCCCCCGCCCCCTAGCCTCAGCTAGACAGCTGCCGCGACCCCTCCCGCAGCAGGTGCGGTGGGATTAGGGGCGGTGCGGGCTCCGCCAAGGTTCTCCTGGGGCGGGAGGGGACGGGGCCGAGGCCTCCTCGCATCAGAGCTGTTGTGTCTTCTTTTCCATTTTGCGGTTTTTTTGTTTTGTTTTGTTTTTGTTTTTTTCCAGCTTCGCAGTAAATGCCCTTTGGTGTTTTCTCTGGATCCCGTAGCAAAAGAAAACAAGGGAGACAGGGCTTTCAGCTCTAGCAGAGGAAAGGGCCTTCCAAGGGAATCAAACCGTACACGGGCTGCTGTCTGGTGAGATCGAATTTAGATTTCCTTGACCCTTCCTCACAGTGAATGCTGTCAATCTGCCCTGAAGTTTCATTCCTTTACCAGGAGCTTCCAGGCAGTAGCAGACCGCTGACCATACTCTCAGGAGTTCTTAGCCCGGAGTCCAAGAGCGCCTGGAAAATGAGTGCAGAGTTTAGTTTCATCAGATTATTATGGCCCAGAAATGGTTAACAAAACCACTTTTTAAATTTATTTTAATTTTTGAATTTTTTTGTAGAGACGGTTGGGTTTTGGGGTCGTCTCGCCATGTTGACCAGGCTGGTCTTGAACTTCTGGGTTCAAGAGCTCCTCCTGCCTTGGCCTCCCAAAGTACTGGGATTACAGGCAGCAGAACTACTTTGGTCCAAGCCTCCTGCTTTAGATGCTCTGTCTTCTGCTGCTGTTCTTGGAATGACCAACTTAAAGGCACCTCTGTATTTTTTTTCCTTGAAACAAAAAAGTTATAAGATACAGACACTTGTCTCAGAGCAGTTTTGTGGCTACTGGAGAGATTAAAACCTCAGGTGATCCACCCACCTCAGCCTTCCAAAGTGCTGGGATTACAGGTGTGAGCCACCACGCTCTGCCTTTAACTCATTTTAAAATCTTCAAATTTTCCTAAAACTGAAAGTATATTTTATTATTGTGAACTTTAATTTTTTCTTAGTTTTATATAGATGATTCTAGGGTAGTTATACTTGTGCTTTCCTTTCTTATTTTAGACTATTACCTCAAATATTTCTTTTATCTCTTCTGAAGACATTTGAAAATATTTCAGATGCCTTTTCATTATTTAGATATATTTGCTCCATAGCCTTCTTCCTATCTTTTCACAGATGACAATCACTTCTATACTGTTTAGTCGTAACCAACCAATGTTTGTTAAATACCTACCTTTTGTGAGATTCGGTGGCTGGCCTTACATGGATGAAAGAATAGAAGACAAACTCCTTGCCTTCCAGTTGATTACAGTATAGTTGGAGAAACAATATGTACATAACTATATTGCAAGGCCCAGTGTTATAAATAACTTAATGGTGGTGCTGATCATAAAAACCACAAAATTCAAAGAAGGAAAATAATGTTTTGTGACCTCCTCAGCCTTTTAAAAATCCTATTCCTTGCCTAGTCTTGTTTGTAAACCACACAGAGCTCCATGGGGGTCTTAGTACCTCTTGGGGAAATCTTGTGTCCAAGTTTATCGAACTCCCTAGGCAACTATTATCCAATTCCTTATGATTATGAAAATAGTATTAATCATTCCTTGAAATCTGCTTTTAGTATTGGGAAGGGAAGGCCTCAGAGAACACCTAACCCTAAAGACAGGTGTGCTCAGTAATACTGTATATGCCGAAAACTTCTTTGTTTCAGGCAGTTTGGAGCATGTGAACACCCTGAGCCTTGATGAGTTCCAGTATGTGGTATATTATGCAGAGCATTCAGAGCAAATACTCTCTCTCAGAGCGCTTAATCCGAACAATTGCTGCCATCCGTTCCTTCCCACATGATAATGTAGAGGACCTCATCAGAGGGGTGAGTGTGCTGGTATTGACAGGAGAGTCCTTGCGATGTGAAGTGGGAAAGCTCTGTAAATCCTCATGGATCACAGATTTGCAGCTTTGTCTCAACCCAAGATCACAGGGAGTTTTTATATTTTGCTAACTGCATTAACTTGATCATTAAAATGTATTTCCCCTATGTTTGCTTCGCTTCCCTTCTCCCTTTCACTTTGTGTATCTGACATTTTTCTTCATGGAATATGTTCTCAATAACCCTAGTCTCATGTTCTTTGTAAAATATCTAAGTATGATGCATATGTAATCCATTGAGCTCAAAGTCTTCTATACATGTTTTATTAAGAGAGGTGAGCAAAGCAGAGGTGGTTTTTATTTTTATTTTTTGAGACAGGGCTTCACTTTTGTCACCCAGGCTGGAGTGCAGTGGTGCAAACATGGCTTACTGCAGCCTTGACCTCCTGGGCTTAAGCGATCCTCCCACCTCAGCTCCCTCAAGTAGCTGAGACTATAGGCACATGCCACCCATGTCCAGCTAATTTTTTTTTTTTAATTTTTTGTAGAGACGGGGTTTCACCATGTTGCCCGGGCTGGTCTTGAATTCCCAAGCTCAAGCGATCCACCTGCCTTGGGTTCCCAAAGTGCTGGGATTAGAGGTGTGAGCCACAGTGCCTGGCTACAGGGGTGGTTTTTTTTTTTTTTTTTTGGAGACGGAGTCTCGCTCTGTCGCCCAGGCTGGAGTGCAGTGGCCGGATCTCAGCTCACTGCAAGCTCCGCCTCCCGGGTTTACGCCCTTCTCCTGCCTCAGCCTCCCGAGTAGCTGGGACTACAGGCGCCCGCCACCTCGCCCGGCTAGTTTTTTTTGTATTTTTTAGTAGAGACGGGGTTTCACTGTGTTAGCCAGGATGGTCTCGATCTCCTGACCTCGTGATCCTCCCGTCTCGGCCTCCCAAAGTGCTGGGATTACAGGCTTGAGCCACCGCGCCTGGCTAGGGGTGGTTTTTAAATCCTGTGAGCTTTTCTTCATACCTGGGTTATAATAATTACATGGAGAGATTTGTACTTACATTCTATGTTAAAAGCAGCTACCACTTCTAGCTCTGTAGAGGATATCAACCTCTAAAATGCATGGTAATTATAGTTTAAGAAAACACCTTAACCATCTGATGTTTAATCACCGCTCTTCAATAATTGTTATATGACTGGTATCCTAGAAGGTCTTTACTATCCTCTTCTATTTATTTTTCTTGTTGAAGAGAAGTTACAGAGTAAATTTTTGATCACCAGAAAATGCATCCAGATGGTTACTTCTGTATATTCTAAGACTTCAGGCTCCTCATTTACAGCCTGGATCTCTGTAGCTGCTTCAGAGTTATTGGGCACAACTGGAGAAGGAAAAGTCATGCAGTGTTAGCTTATTCTCTGCAAAAGTGGTGTCAGAAGACTCCGCGGTGGAAACCTTGTCACATTCTAATTCTAGCTCTGCTGCTGAGTCATTCAGTGACTTTGGTCTGACTGGTATCTCCACCTCCTTTGATTTTTTTTTTTTTTTTTTTTTTTTGAGACGGAGTTTCCCTTGTCTCCCAGGCTGGAGTGCGGTGGCTCAATCTCGGCTCATGGCAACCTCTGCCTCCCAGGTTCAAGCAATTCTCCTGCCTCAGCCTCCCGAGTAGCTGGGATTACAGGCGCCTGCCGCCGCACCTGACTAGTTTTTGTATTTTCAGCAGAGACAGGGTTTCACCATGTTGGCCAGGATGGTCTCAAACTCCTGACCTCAGGTGATCTGACCGCCTCAGCCTCCCGAAGTGCTGGGATTACAGGGGTGAGCCACCGTGCCCAACCTGTCCTTTGATTTTGAATAGAAGCACCAGCAAAGGCTAGGTGGTAAAGAATGCTGATACTAAGAGGCTACTTTGAAGATGTTTATAAATAAGGAAAAATAGTGTTAATATGATGCCACTATTAGTGATGGTCATTTGCTGAATGGCCAAAAATGCATGCCAGTTCTGGCCTCAGTCTGACAGACTCACTTTCCTACTTTTTCAGAGCATAGTGGCCATAGAAAGTGGATTGCTGGTCCAGCTTTCCTGCCTGATGATAAGATTTCCAGTGCTTTGACACATAAGATTATGTCTTCAATAATGTCCAGATGACCATCTGGCAGGCTCCCTTGTGGAGGAACTTAGTAACTTGATCTAAGGAATTAACAGTTGTTTTCCTTCTTCTTCAGTGTACTCCTTTAGTTTGGACATTGGCATATTAATTAATAGAAAAGGAAACAAGGAACTAGCAGTGTACCTATCGGTCCCCTGGACTCAGTTCTGAATTCTGTCCTGCTGGGCAAGCCAGAGCTGAGCACACTGACTGAAGTTGTCTTCTGCCCACAGGGAGCAGATGTAAACTGCACTCATGGTACACTGAAGCCCTTGCACTGTGCCTGTATGGTGTCAGATGCTGACTGTGTGGAGTTACTTCTGGAAAAAGGAGCCGAGGTAATGTTTTTAACACATTCACATTAATGATTCACTAAAACTTGAGCTTCATGCTTTCTTAGAATTTGTCCCCATCACTCCTCCATCTCTTCCCTCCTCCAGTCTGAAATTCTAACTCAAGGTAATGTTGGCACAGCCAATATTAAGGAAAATGTAATGGTAAATATATAAAATGATCTAAGGATTTCATTCCTTTGCCTTTCTGTCCCCACCCTGCTTGCCCCATTTTATAGTGCTGATACTCTGCTTTTCTTTCTTCTCCTTAACTTAAGCTGTCACTGGCCATCACTTCAGGAAGCTTACCTTGTAGGTGCTGTTTATATTGCCATTTAATCTTCTCATTGCTTATTGTCTATCCAGGAAATATAAACGCAGAGATCCCTCAACTCTAATTAAATCTAAAGTATCCTTAAAAGTACTTAAAGTACTTAAGAAGTGGTACTTAAGATAGGTTTTAGCCAAAAGAAGGTTGAACTTACTTAAATGTTTCAGGGTTTTTTTTTTTTTTTTTTTTTTTTTTTCATTGATGAGGGAATATGCTATTTGGAAATGTGAAGAAAAAAACTGCAAGTGATACTGACTGTCAGCAAGCCAGCTGCTTTTCCAGCACTGGGAGATTTGTGTTCTTCCTATCACATACTTTCATTTGGGTTCTCTTGTGAACCCACAGCATATTTTTGGAAAGGTCTGACTTACATTCTAACATTTTGAACTTCTCTGTATGGTTAAAGAACATAGCAAAAGCTGTGTTTTTCAGTTTGATTGCTACATTAGCCACAGGGTACAGAAAGGGTCAGGATAAGTAAAATAATCCAAAACTCTGTGTAGTCAAGCAACTTTCCAGTAAATATCTTTCTGAGCAGTTACAGGGACTTAGACTTCCTCTATTCCTGCCTCACCCTTTACTCTGTGGTAGAGTTTCTAACGAGTAAATGAACATTGCAGCAAAAACCGAAATAATGCAGACCAGCTAGTCAATGCACATAATAGTGTTGACTGTTTGAGGACAGTTCTTTTCCATTTTGCTCCTAAGCTCCTGTCATATCTTCATCTTTATCACCAGCACTCCCTGGGAGTTGCTTGTTGACCCTCTTGTTCAGAGCACTGCATAGCAAAGGTAGTGGGTAACCATGTAAGCTTCTTTGCTGTTGTCCTGTCTTCCTCTCAGTAGTCTGTCTACTGTAATAGTTCCTCCCTTTTTACAGGTGAATGCCCTGGATGGGTATAACCGAACAGCCCTCCACTATGCAGCAGAGAAAGATGAGGCTTGTGTGGAGGTCCTATTGGAGTATGGTGCAAACCCAAATGCTCTGGATGGCAACAGAGATACCCCACTTCACTGGGCAGCCTTTAAGAACAATGCTGAGTGTGTGCGGGCTCTCCTAGAGAGTGGGGCCTCTGTCAATGCCCTGGATTATAACAATGATACACCGCTCAGCTGGGCTGCCATGAAAGGAAATCTTGAGAGTGTCAGTATTCTTCTGGATTATGGTGCAGAGGTCAGAGTCATCAACCTAATAGGCCAGACACCCATCTCCCGCCTGGTGGCTCTGCTAGTCAGGGGACTAGGAACAGAGAAAGAGGACTCTTGCTTTGAGCTCCTCCACAGAGCTGTTGGACACTTTGAATTGAGGAAAAATGGCACGATGCCACGAGAGGTGGCCAGAGACCCGCAGCTATGTGAAAAACTGACTGTTCTGTGCTCAGCTCCAGGAACTCTAAAAACACTTGCTCGCTATGCCGTACGCCGTAGCCTGGGACTCCAGTATCTCCCTGATGCAGTGAAGGGCCTTCCACTGCCAGCTTCTTTGAAGGAATACCTGTTACTTTTAGAATAGCCCGGAGAAGATGTTTGCACCATCATGCAGGCAACTATGGGTGAGGTTGTGCCTGCAGTACTCTTTGTCACAGAAAACAGAAAAACAGTTGTTCCTGTTGTGTGGTTTATAGATTTTGAAGCAACATGTCACAACAGTAACCTCCATAGCACCTCCCCTTCCCAAACCAAACAACCAAACAAAAAAAATCCCTCACTTTTGTTTTCTGTTTATTGCTTACTTGGCTTTTTATATTGCACTTTGCAGAAGAAGTCTCCCTCAATCCTCCCCCTTAGGGAAGGAGTCACCAGTGCAACTAAATTTCTCTGGGAAGATGGAAAGTACTTAAAGAATGTGTGTGTGGTTTTCCTTTGGGGACATGGTTAATGGTCCAGAAGAATCCCTTCTAGAAAGCATTTTAGGCCAGGCATGGTGGCTCACACCTGTAATCCCAGCACTTTGGGAGGCTGAGGCAGGCGGATCACCTGAGGTCAGCAGTTCGAGACATAGTGGCATGAGCCTGTAATCCCAGCTACTCGGGAGGCTGAGGCAGAAGAATTGCTTGAACCTGGGAGGCAGAGGTTACAGTGAGCCGAGATCATGCCATTGCACTCCAGCCTGGACAACAAGAGCAAAACTCCGTCTCAAAAAAAAAAAAAAGATTTTAATTGATCTGTGAAAAAATTTAAGAAAATCACAATTTCAGCTAACAGCAATTGCGTCCCAAAGATGAGGATACTATAACCTCAAATGATGCAGATCCAGAACTGGGCTGGATGACATCCCTAGTGTGCCATGTCCTGGGGCATTCAGAAGGGACTGGACTTCTTTCCCCTCATCAAAGGGAACAGCAGTCTTTGCCTCTTTCTCTTGGTTGTGCCCAAGGGCTACACAGTAGTTCTGAAATAATAAGAGCTCTGCAATAACAGTAATAGCTCTGAAATAACAGTCCTAAGAACTCCTAAAGCCCTGAGAACTTCTCATGTAATGCAGCTTTTTCTCTTCCTGAGAGCCAGTGTGTTCTAATGAGCTTCGCAGGCAGTTCCTACACCTACAGTGTGTGTGCCAGCAGGGAGGACTTATGGGCTGGGCTGCCTTTTCCCATAGGTCTTCATTCCCAATGGAAAGCTCACTCTGCTTAGTTTGGAATTATTTTTCTTTCAGTTGTTCTGGAACCTTTGCTTTTTATTGATTTATACAATACAATTGGCGGGAGGGTGGACTTGGGATGGGAGTGGGAAAAGCATGTAAGAGCTTCTTTTGTGATGGTCCATCTACCCAAAAGAGATCTGCTTTAGTGAACAATACTCTTTCATTTCATGTTTCTAAACTAGATCAAGTTGTTATTGATTTTAGATGACTTGTATGCAAATTTGAAAAACTTTTTTTTAAAGCTGATTGGGAACTACAAACAATGAATGGAATCTACTGACACAGCTAATTGGAAAACAGATGTCTTTTGTCCTATTGATGCTGGTGTTTAAAAAACACCGTTAAAAAAAAAAAAAGGAATAAATAGTTCTAAAAGCAAGTTGGGCAATTTCTACTTTTCCTACTTTTCTCCAACCCCCCTTAGAAAAAGTTCTTCTTTTACTGCCTGGCTGTTCAATGTAACTTTTCATCCCAACCTTTCTCCCATTAGCAACAGTGATTCTGGGCATTGCTGGAGTGAACAGGAGGGCTTGGGCAGAGTATCTGAAGAGCTTCCCCTTCCTTTATACCTTCTCCTACCCCAAATTTGGAATTACTACTTTTATGTTCTCAACTCCAGCTGCACATAAAATTACTAAGAAGGCTTTTTAAAAACACTGGTGCCAAGACTTCACCTCATACCAATTCTTTGGAATTTTCTGTCTCTGGGGGCTTGAGTGCTTCAGATGTAGCCAGGAATGAGATCCCACTGCGTTAGTCAGTGGTTCTCAAGTCTAGTTGTTAATTAGAACCACCTAGGAAAAATTTAAAAAATACTAAGGCCCAGGCTCCACCCCCACAGATTAATTTAATTGGTCCAAAGCAGACCTAGTAGGGCTGGCCGCAGTGGCTTATGCCTGTAATCCTCACACTTTAGGAGGCCGAGATGGGAGGATCATTTGAGACCAGGAGCTGAAGTCCCCATCTCTACAGAAAAATAAATAGACCTGGGCATGAGTATGTTCAAAGGCCTCAGGTGATTCTAATATTCTGGTAGATTTATAAACTGCTTTAGATGCTATTTCATTTCTCATTATAGATAGTTAATATTCTGGAAAGAGAGTTTTGTCCATGTGGGAAAAAATGTCACCTGTTTCTCAGTTACTTCATAATCACTCGTGGTTGGTGGCTAATAACTTCTGCTTTACTTCCACTTAAGAGTTCAAACACAATTTCACTTATCTTTTTAGCTCTGGGGAAATAGCATGCACCTTCACAGGTTTTTGTTTTTTTGTTTTTAAGTGGTCTTCACTATGCCTTTTTTTTTCCCAGATTGTATCATCATCCTAATTTTTTTAGTCTTTACAGAGTGACATTTTCCCTCTGATTAGCTTCCCCTGAGCCATCTTTCCCTCTTCATTTTCTCGAGGAAACAGCTCTAAGATTAAAGATAGGAAAGAGAACCTATAAATCAATGGCAATTAGCATTTAAAATGTTCTGAATGAATGCCTGCACTTTCCCTTTCACTTCATTTTCATAGGCCTTATGGCTCTGGGGATTTGATATGGCATGGTAAGGAAGCAGAGGAATGGGGAATGAGGATGAGGTTTGAAGTCAGAACTGAGTTTTGAGTTCTACTTGAATAATATTGAAGGAGACATTATGTAATCAATCATCTTGAGCTCCAGTGTCGTCCTTTCTGAAGTCAGGCTGTCGCTGTTGCCCTCCAAAAGCTACTTTGAGGATTCAGTGATGAAATGCCTACCACAGTGCTTGATATTTATTGTTAATTTCTCTTCCCACTGAAGAACTGTGCTGCCTTAATCCCTGACTCCAGCAACAAACATTCTCAGTCACTATTTAGAACTGTTTTTAGAGTTTGGCAGTGATAATTTTTCAGACAGCCAGCAAGTAGTGTACTAGAGATAATCCCTTCCTCCACCCCCTGTGATACCCTTAACATCTTTACTGCTTCATCAGGCAAGTGTCTGATACATGGGGCTGACAGTATTACATTCCACTTGGGAAGATGATAACAGGAGAAGCGAAAGCACAGTGACCAGTTGGCATTTATTAGTGTAGTTACAATTTGTCACTGTAGTAATAGTAGTAGAGGAACCAAGACTCTTTGTTATCACAAAGAAATAAATAAAGCTTATTTTTAGGAAAATTCTAACTGAGCAAGTGATATCTAGCAGTAGCACTAGAGGTGCCCAGCCTTGTGTGACAGATAAAGCTGGGGCAGAAGTCATGTTAAATTCTACCTAAAAGGAGCTCCCACGCACTGCCCCCTCCAGCTCCTGGCCAGGACTGATCATGGCTGCAAGGTACAGAATAAAAGGAAACCTAATGAAAAAAACAGCTAAAACACTGAGAAGATGCGGACTTATCAGGGGGTGAGCTGACCATGATCAGATAATCTGTTCCCCTCACTCCAGAGAGGTTTAAACAGCCCCTTCCCCAGACCGCTTCCGGGTGATGTGCTCCAGGTGGGCATGGTCTGAAGTGTCCAAGTCAATCTCATACTTGGCTAGGATTTTGAGGATGGGCCTCAGTTTCAGCCACCACTGTTCCTTGGGGATTCGATGCCTACAGAGGAATGAGGTAGATGATGATATAATCTTTTAGTACCCTAATCAACTTCTACCAAAGGTTTATAGAAAGTAGTTGGACAGAAGAGGTTAGATTTAGGACATGTGCATCACATCTGAAATGGGTAAGAATACAGGTGTTACTCCTTAAAAAAAAAGGATTAAAGACAGTGAACAGGTTGAGGACAGTAGAGCTTGAAACTACCAGGGAGAGAACCACTCCAGAAAGCAGAGGTACTCACTCAAAATCTGTCTGGCCCTGCAGCTCAGTCACTGGTTGGAAGAGCAGAGCCCTCTTACGCATCCCCAGAACACAGCCCGAGTCTGGAGTATTGGCGAAGATCCGCCCTGCAATAAGGGATGGTCAATCAGCTTCTATACTGGGGAACCAGCCTCTACAGAGGGCACTCGGTCTCTCACCCCACCTACCATTACGGTAACTCTCTTTGATTTTCCCAGACATCCAGTTCATAGCCTTGGCACCCATCTTAGTGGCAAAATTCCTATCAAATGGGGTTGGGCTCCCACCCTGGAGAAAGAAACATAAAAATTACAGAGGGAAGGACTCTAATAAACTGGCAGAGATATCGAGACACACAGAGAAAAAGGAAAGATGGGCCCCAGGTTTACGGCCCAAAACAGGAATCCAGAAATCAAACTATGAAAGGGTGTCCTGAGGCAGTGCCAGGATCCAAGGCCAGGCTGGCCCAGCACATTTGGCCATGCATCAGATATAAGAATAACTAAAGAAGATGATTGGCCCCACAATCCCCTCTTTTAGCTCCACAGCTGCCAGATCCTGTTTTAGTCTTATTGGCCAAAGGGTCAGCTGCCTGCCCCTCTTCAGCCCAGCAGCTTTTGTTAGTCACTGTCAATGATGACATAAAAGTGTTTTTTGTGGCCCAATCTGGCTGCCCTTGGTAGCACCTCAGAATAATACAAAATATCATACAGATTTCCTTTGAATTAAGAGGAAGCAGGTGGGAAAGTGGGAATGTTTGGAGACATTTTTGTTACAATCGGGAGTGAGAGGGAGGTGCTACTGGCATCTAGTGGGTAGACACCAGGGATGCTGTGCAACTGTCCTACAGTGCATAGAACAGCTACCCAAAACAAATCATCATCTAGCCCCAAAAGGCAAAGCTGCCAAGGTTGAAAACCCTCCCCTAAATGAAAAGGATAGACCATATAATCTCTAAAGTCATTTCCAGGATAAAGATGTTTTGATTCTATGACTGTAAGAGACTGCAGGCCCATGCTCTATGATGGCACTAACAGGCTCCTCCAGAAGACTGGAAAAGGCCAGTGGAAGCCTCAGTGGCTGTTGGCAGGTACGGCTGTCTGATGAAGGGCATGACTAGGGTGTCTTCCCTACCTGCTGCATGTGACCAAGCACATTCTTCCTGCTGTCGAAGATGCCCTTCCCCTCCTCAGAGTACAGGTTGAAAATGAAGTCAGTGGTATAGTTCTCATTGCACTTTTCATTCCTGCCAGGTGGAGACCAAAAGCCTGTGACTCTGTGGTTGGCTTTCCATCCCCCCTTTCTGCCTTTTTCTTTCCTTTCAATTTTTGTCTCCTCCCAGGATTCAAGGGATAGGCTGGCCCCCTCCCTTTATATCTACAGATTCCTCAGGGTGTCCCAACCCTGGCCATTCTATGAGTTTGAGCCAAAGCTTATTTTTCTTCTCCACTTAGGAACCATGGATGAGGTACCTTAACACCAAGCCCCTTTTCACAGTTGTTTTCATCTTTTGCACCAGGTGTTCAACATTTGCCTGAAAAT